TCAGGTTTTGTTTTTGTGTTTCAAATTTCCAGCTCCGAAAAACATAAAATAAAATATTTTGCGAAAAAAATGAGAAAAAAAAAAACATAAATATGGGTTATTTTTATATATCCAAATATTTTGTCACATAATTATTGGACCGGTTATTTGTTTGTGTTTTCTACCCGATTTGTTTGTTGCACCCTACAGTAGGTAGGAATTTCTCTTAGTTTTCTCTCATTATTAAAAAGTTCTAGATTTTCCTAAGATAATAGAAATCCTCCAGGTTTTCCATTGAGTATAAAAGATGTCCAAGCCTTTTATAGGAAATCGAAGATAACAAAGGTTCTCTGACAATTATGGAATATTTCTTGTCTCAGTGTATTTCTATTGGCCTTGAGGTCAATACACGACCTGAAAATCTTGCCTTGGCTATATAAGACCAACTGGTCTTTTATAGACTTTATGAAATCTTATCTGAGGTCTTCTAAGGGCTATAGAAAACCTTGAGCTCCTCTAATGGCTATAGAAGACCTTGAGCTCCTCTAATGGCTATAGAAGACCTAGAGCTCTTCTAATGGCTACAGAAGACCTTGAGGCCTTCTCATGGCTATAGAAGACTTTGAGGTCTTCTCATAGCTATAGAAGACCTTGAGGCCTTCTCATGGCTATAGAAGACCTTGAGGCCTTCTAGTGGCTATAGAAGACCTTGAGGTCTTCTAATGGCTATAGAATACCTTGATGTCTTCTAAGGGCTATAGAATACCTTGATGTCTTCTAAGGGCTATAGAAGACCTTGTGGTCTTCTAAGGGCTATAGAAGATCTTGAGGTCTTCTAATGGCTATAGAAGACCTTGAGGTCTTCCTATGGCTATAGAAGACCTTGAGGTCTTCTAATGGCTATAGAAGACCTTTAGGTCTTCTAATGGCTATAGAAGACCTTGAGGTCTTCTAATGACTATGGAAGACCTTGAGGTCTTCTAATGGCTATAGAAGACCTTGACGTCTTCTAATGGCTATAGAAGACCTTGAGGTCTTCTAATGGCTATAGAAGACCTTGAGGTCTTCTAATGCCTATAGAAGACCTTGAGGTCTTCTAATGCCTATAGAAGATCTTGAGGTCTTCTAATGCCTATAGAAGACCTTGATGTCTTCTAATGCCTATAGAAGACCTTGAGGTCTTCTAATGCCTATAGAAGACCTTGAGGTCTTCTAATGCCTATAGAAGACCTTGAGGTCTTCTAATGCCTATAGAAGACCTTGAGGTCTTCTAATGCCTATAGAAGACCTTGAGGTCTTCTAATGCCTATAGAAGACCTTGAGGTCTTCTAATGCCTATAGAAGACCTTGAGGTCTTCTAATGCCTATAGAAGACCTTGAGGTCTTCTTATGGCTATGGAAGACCTTGAGGTCTTCATTGGGGCCTTATAATGGCTATAGGAGACATTGGGGCCTTATAATGCCTATAGAAGACCTTGAGGTCTTATAATGCCTTTAGAACCCCTTGAGGTATTGTAATGCATGTAAAAGACCAGGAGGTCTACTAATGACTATAGAAGACCTTGAGGTCTTCTATTTTCTGTAGAAGACCTTGAGGTCTTCTATTTTTCTATAGCAGACCTTAAGGTCTTCTATTTTCTGTTGAAGACATTGAGGACTTCTACTTTCTATAGAAGACCTTGAGGTCTTCAAATGCCTATAGAAGACCTTGAGGTCTTCTAATGGCTATAGAAGACCTTAAGGACTTCTAATGCCTCTAGAAGACTTTGAGGTCTTTCATGAGAAATGGAAAATCTCCTTATTCCCTTAGGGTATTTTTGAGTCGAATCTGCGTTCCAGCTCCTCTCATAAAACCAAACTAATTTTAGAGCAAACAAATTAACACATTTCATTGGAGTAAAGCAAAAGCATTTTGAAATGTCGCTTGGCACGTTTTGAACACCTCTTGGGTGCTACCGGAAAATATTGAGCTATTTTTGTTTGCTTTCGTTTGGGATGATTTCAAAAAAAAATTCCGAAGACATTTATCTGCCAGCCAAACAAAAAATCAATGCTTGCAAATATTTCCATTGAAAGTGAAGTGATCCGGTTGATACTGGTTACTAAGTGCGCTAAGACAAGACAAAAACTTTCGACAAATTTTCAAATGCTAATTGTCGGAAAAGACATATGGTTTGGAGATCATGCCTCAGTTCTTTCGATGTGGCATCTTCTTGTTGGGCAACGAATGGTCTTTCATAGAAGAAGTAAGGATTCTTTTTTCACCTAGCAACAAAGTCTCATTCTTAGACCTTCTATAGATGGCCTTTTCTCCGGAGTTAGATCCCAAATAATTCCATGACGTAGTAGATGCTAACTCTATTTATAACAGCTGATAACAAGATATGTTGTCAAAATACTTATTGTGATTGAAATCACTATAGAAAGGATAATTAAAGACTGAAAAAAAAACATAAAGAAATGTTGACATTTTGTGATTTTTGGAAAATCTGAAGAAACAGCTTATTACTTCGACATGAAATAAGCGATATCGTATCCTATGAAATTCATTCCGAAGAGACTTCGGAAATTTTGCAACAAATTTTTACTGACAACGTTCGTGGTGCCATCTAGTTGTCAACTCCTGATTAATCTCGCAACCATGCCACCATATGCTTTGAAAAAATGACATTCTTACATTGACTGCAATCGCGTGTCATTACCTGTCATTCAAGCCATGACATGTGTGTGATACTCACTGTCAGTCTTCCATTTCAGTCTACATCTCGCCTGTTACCAAAAAAAAATTAATGAAACTTGCAATCATTCGTGCTGCCATTTTGACAAATTGTCTACGGATCGGATCGGCCAACACTTTATTGTCTAACCATATTCTGGACATGTAAACAAATAAAACAACATTTTTAGTTTCCCAATTTGAAAAGCAAACAAACAATGGTCGGCGTTAAGAATCATCCGACAAGCGATCGATTTAAAATGGAAGAGACCAGTTGTGGGACATGAAAACAACCGCCGCTTTTAAGTCCAAATTAGTTTTCAAAAAAAAAAAAAAAGAATGACAACTAAAACTAAAATCGTGTTGCTTGGAATATTGTCGCGATGTTAACGGCAACTGCTGGTCAAACAAATATGGCATGGCGTGGCACACGAAGTAGTAAAAATTAGAATCGATAAAATGTTGAAAGTTAATGGAAGATCTCTTTCTCTCTCTCTCATCCTTTAGTTTCCAAAATTTTTAGATTTTGACTTTCATTGCTTCTCAGAGCCTTCAAATTATGAACTATAATCACAATATGTGTTTTGACAGTAAATTTAATGAACGGTTGTAGTAACTAGAGTAGCCGTCAATTATCCCATGAGGTATTCAATACCCAGAGGAAAAGATCTCAAGCCCGGCCTAGGCCGGCTACTTAAAAGATATCAAATTGTTGGCCGGTCTCAAGCCTCGACGGAAGGCCGTTTACTTAAAAAAAGTATGAAATTCAAAAAAAAAAAAAAAAAAAAAAAAAAAAATTAGTTCGTTTAGCCGGTGTTGGTTATACCCAGGGGAGAACATCGCAAGCTTCGGCGGAAGGCCGTTCACTTCAAAAATGAATCAAATTCAGAAAAATTTTAGTTCATGTAACCGGTGTTCGACCAACCCAGAGGTGAAAATCAATAAAAAAAACTTTGGATTTCGAAGCCGGTGTTTGAAATACGAGGGGAGAAGATCTCAAGCCCCGGTCGAAAACCGGCTACCTAAAACAGCATAAAAGTTAGAAAAACTGAACAGAATGTATTGAAAATAATCGGGTTGTCCGGGTTTAAAAATCCATATCTCTGGATCCAGGAATACTACTGGCTATCGTAAGAGCACTCCACAGTTGCCGTCGCAAATAAATCGTGAGCTGAACATATAGCAATATTCTATTCGACAAATATTGAAAAATGAGCTCGGGGTAAAGCCATTGAAATTCCAAAAAGCGCAAGAACTTACACCGCAACAGAAAGAAAATAGACTCAAAAGAGCTAAAGAGTTGTTTCACTTGGCCGTAAGTGGTGAACTGCCGAATTTGGTTTTCTCCGATGAGAAAACATTCGCTGTCCAGCAGTTTGTAAACAAACAAAATGATCAGCTCGTGTTTACCTGCCAAAGAGGTTATCCGAAAATGTGCACCTTCGATTGACCAAGTTTCAAGCCGTTCATGGTGATGGTGTGGGCCGCCATAACAGCCGACGGTCGTTCTCCGCTCGTATTGATCGTCCGTTGCTCAGAATTAATACCGAATATTATCGCGAAAATATTCTTGGAGGGTCTATTAAAGCCTTGGGCACGCAAACATTTTGGCCGCAGACCTTGGACATTCCAGGACCATCGCACTCAGCACGCGCCACCCAAGAATGGTTACAAAATGAGCTTCCTCACATCATTTTCAGCGCACAATGGCCACCAAAATCTCCGGATACCAATCCGTTGGACTATTGTGTCTGGAGTATTTTGGAAAGCAAGGTTGTCACTAAAAGATACCAAAGTGTCGATCACCTCAAGCAAGCGCTTCGCCGAGAATGGGTCAAAATACCGCAGACAAACATTGGGCCATCGTGTGACGGTTTCATTCGACGTTGGTAGGCCATAATTTGTGCCAAAGGTGACCAATTCGAACAAATCTAAACTTATTCTAAAATTTGATGCTATTTAAGAAATTTTTTGCTTTCATTCAATAAAATTAAAAAAAAAAAAATGTAAAAATTATGGCGTTTGAATTTCTTACTGTTTTTTTCTCACCCTGTATAGTTAATAGATTCCAAAAATTCACTACGAACTGTTGTACTATGATTTCAATCACATTAGGTATTTGGACAGCTGATCAAGTGATTATCTGTCCTTCCACCCCGGCCTTTCAACACAAACTTATTTTTCCTCTTATATTTTAAAATCTTTTTGTCTTATATATTTAAATCTTTTGTCTTTTTGTTAATAGTGGGTTTTGCTTGACTGACATTTCCATAATTTCCCTTTTGTTTTTCTATTCTTCTTGCAGTGTCCCGTTCGTGAATACAACATGGATGACCTGGAACTAGATCAGGTGACAAAGGTCATTAGCTATCATCCACGTTTCCTGGATCATTTTTTGAAGACTCAAAATTTCATTATGAACGGCGATGGGCCGCTGCCGTACGACTATCGTTATTATTTGGCCATAATTGTGAGTAGAAAAAAACATATTGTTATTATTTGTTTTGAATTAATTATTTTTTGTATAAGAAATTTATAATAAACACGCCACCCGGAGGAAATGTTAAATTATATAAAAAAATATATGTTGTGGGTCGGTGACTTTAGAATGCCTAAAATTGCTGACATCAAAGTGACCTAGAATAGTCAAATGTTGCAGGGCATTGAAATATAAGGACATGCTTTCAAAAATAGATTTGAAAATGAATTTTTAATGAGCTTAAATTGGATATAGAGACCTTTGCCTATTTAAGGGTCTGTAAGGCGTTTAAGGGTCTTGAAGACTCTGGTATATTATAAAGATCGGATGGCTTTTAAAAGTTTTTGAATAGCTTTTGAAGATTCCAAAAAGTTTAAATTGGTTATATACACCTTCACCTATTTAAGGTTCTGCATGGCATTAGAGGTTCTTGAAGACTCTCTTAGGTCTTGGAGGTATTATAAATTTTTTGAATTTTCTTTAATAACCAGAATAAAGACCAGGGGTCTTACATAACATAGTTTATCTACAAAGTTCTTGTTTAAATATATGGATTTGGTTTGAAAAAAAAAACGATGGTCATCTGCAGTGTTTTAAGGTTAAAACAAGTAAGAAAACTGTAAGTTCGGACGGGCCGAACTTTGAATATCCTCCACCATTTGGAACGAATTTAGCAATTCTCAAAAACCATAAAATCCATTAAAAATTCTGTTAAAATTTTAAAAATACCAAATGTAGCCATTATATTAAGTTCTATAGGACAACGTGGACCTGCATAGGCATTGTTTGTCATTAGCCATTAGCATATTCAAACTTGGAAACTTGAAATAAACGGTTAAAATCATAAAAATATCGTATATAGGGAGGTACCATTATATCGGAGCTGTGCGAAGACCTGGACCAGCATATACAATTTTCTGTCACAGGCTATAGCATCCATTACCAACGTCAAATACGATATCTCAAACATTTTCGGTGAGTATTGTACCTAAACTCGTCAAAATATCGAATATAGGGAGGTACTATTATATGGGGCCTATACGAAGACCTGGACCTGCATAGACATTTTTCTGTCACAGACTGTAGTTCCCATTACGAACTCTAAATACGTAATTTGAAACAATTCCGGTGACTAATGTCGCTAAAATCATCAAAATACCGAATATCGGGAGGTATCGTTATATGGGGGCTATACGAAGGCGTAGACCTGCACAGACAATTTTCTGTCATAGACTGTAGCATACATTACGAATATCAAATACCAAATTTGAAACAATTTCAGTGAATAATGTCGCTAAAATCATCAAAATACGGAATATCCGGAAGGTACCGTTATATGGGGGCTATACGAAGACCTGGACCTGAACAGACAATCTCCTTCATAGACTGTAGCATTCATTACGAACATCAAATACTGAATTTGAAATAGTTCCGGTTAATAATAATGTCGCTAAAATCATCAAAGTACCGAATATCGGGAGGTACCGTTATATAGGGGCTATACGAAGACGTGGACCTGCACAGACAATTTTCTTTCATAGGCTGTAGTATCCACTAGGATCGTCAAATGCCAAATTTGAAACAATTCCGGTGAATAATGTCGCTAAAATCATCAAAATACCGAATATCGGGAGGTATCGTTATATGTGGGCTTTACGAAGACGTGGACCTGCACAGACAATTTTCTGTTTTAGGCTGTACTATCCATTGCGAACTTAAAATACCAAATGTGAAACAATTCCGGTGAATAATGTCGCTAAAATCATCAAAATACCGAATATCGAGAGGTACCGTTATATGGAGGCTATACCAAAACGTGGACCTACATAGCACATTTTCAATAACAAAAGTTCTGCAGCCATAATATACATTTGAGTAAAATTTTATCAATCTACTTCATTTCGTTCGGAAGCTAGAGTGATTTCCACAGACGGACGGACAGACGGATGGACATCGCTAAATCGACATAGAATTTTATGCTGATCAAGATTATGTATATATACTTTGTGTGGTCTAAAATGTATATTTCGAGTTGTTACAAACGGAATGACATACTTTATATACCCTCCATACTATGGTGTAGGGTATAAAAATGGATCCTCATAGGTATGTAATTTAAGAGGTTTTTCATACGAATAGAAGAATTTTAGTGCGTTTTTTCGCAAATACAAAAATCGTAAGTAGGTCCATATTGAACATACCTCTTTTTAATATCCTATATTTAAATATCTCAAAGATATTCTGCTGAAAATTTATTAAATTTAAATTTATTTATTAGATTTTCGGACGAATTTCTATGTTTTGCCGAAACATAAGTTCCCAATAATTGCTGAAAAATGTCCCCATCGAAAAATACATTTAAATGCAAAAACTCACACACACACACCACCTTACTGCCCCCGCTATGCCATTCACTTCCCTACTTGGTTACATCGGGTCATCAACCGTTTGGGCCTAATTTCAATTACCCTGTAGTTTTCCACTGTCATTCAGTCAATAAATATTTCAAAGCATTTAGCCATCCATCTTACCTATCGCACGTATCTCCGTTTTGGTTAGGGTGTAAATAAAATTAGCCAACAATGGCGGCAGTGACAGCCAAAGCACAACAACAACGCCAACAAACATTAATATTTCAAATAGTTAAAAAAAATCGAAACAACAAATACGCCAACAATTTTAATTTGCAATTCAAATATTTCCAGATTTACAAATTTGTCAAAACAACGCCACTACAATTGTAAAGTGGTAGCGAAAAAAACGTCGACGTTAAAGCGCTTGACTTGACTTGTACGGGCCTTACATGACCCAACAACGCCAGACAGTCAGCACCAGCTACTTAACAGATGCCCATAACCCAATGCAGTTTAATGTAGTTTAAACTATGTTGTATTGCATTTTGTTTGTGTGCGGAGCGATGGAACATGGGGTGGATCGAATGAAGTGTCAAATGTGCAAAATTTAAAAAAAAAAATCAGACATCTATCACCAATCACCAATTTCTGGGAATAATTGTAAAACATACTTTTAACCTTTTTTGGGGAGAAGGTTTGAGACGAAATATGTCGATAAATTCCATATTAACATCAGATGTCTGGTTGACAGAAATACTTAGATATATATCAAATTTAAATAGAATCGCTCCCATTTGTGGTGGAGGTTCCTGAAGGGGTGAGCGGTTATCTATAATTTTTACAGCAGGATATGTGATAGTAAAAATGTTGGGATATGGGAAACATGAAGAGAAGCGGTTGCTTATTTTGCATTTTATGAAAGATATAAATAATCCAAATGTTGACCCTTTGTGGGAGAGGTACAAGAAGAGTGGTCCGACATACATAATCTTGTGTTATCAAAAATGTGTGTGAATTTGTAAAATTTGAAGAGAACAGGTTGCTTATTTCCCCGTTTTATTAGATATAGTATCATTCAGAATTTCGAGCCCTTGTGGGGAAGGTACCAAAAGGAGTGGTCCGAATTAATCTATGTTCACATCGCTAAGTTTGAAAATAATCGGAATGTCATTTCGCGCTCCATGAGCATCATCCATCTTCATACCTGATCTTCACACCGATATATCCATCTTCATACCTGATCTTGTGCTATCAAAAATGTTAGGATATGTACAATTTGAAGAGAATCGGATGGTTATTTCGCATTTTGTACTTCGTGGGGGAGATACTTGATGAAGTGGACCGAGATTGTCCGTTCTCGCATCTGCCCTAGCAGAGATATCATGAGCGAAAGCCAGACATGTTCTGAAACGGATTTGGTCCAATAGGGTATAAAATAGTTTATTTTTTTTTTTTGATGATGCACGTTTTGGCCGTATCAAGTGAAAAAAAAAAAAAACTGCAACAAAGTCAAACGGCATAATTTTTACATTTTTCTTTAAATTTTATTGAATGAAAAGTTTAGATTTGTTTAGTTTAGATTTGTTCGAATTGATCACCTTTGGCACGACTTATAGCCTTCAAACGGCCAATGAAACCGTCACACGCTGCCCGAATGTTGCTCTGCGGTATTTTGGCCCATTCCCGGTGAAGCGCTTGCTTGAGGTGATCAACATTTTGGCATTTTTTAGTACCAACCTTGCTTTCCAAAGTACTCCAGACACAACAGTCCAACGGATTGGTATCCGGAGATTTTGGCGGCCATTGTTAGCTGGAAATGAAGCGAGGAACCTCATTTTGTGGCGCGTGCTAAGTACGATGGTGCTGAGCCCTGTTGGAATGACCAAGGTCTGCGGCCATTTATTCGGCATTTCTGCGGCATTTATTCTGATGCCACGGTCGATTAATATGAGTGGAGAGCGGCGACCATCGGCTGTTATGGTGGTCCACACCATCACCATGGCCGGCGCTTGAGTTTTGGTTGCCAACGGAAGGTGAAGGTGGTTGTTTGTTTATCAACTGCTGGACAACGAATGTTTTCTCATCGGAGAAATCAAAATTCGGCAGTTCACCATTTTCGAAGCAACTCTTTAGCTCTTTTGAGACTATTTTCTCTCCGCTGCGGTTTAAGTTCTTGCACTTTTTGGAATTTCAATGGTTTTACCCCGAGCTCATTTTTTTAATATTTGCCGAATGGAATATTGCGATATGTTCAGGACATGAGCCATTTTTCGGCCCCTGCCACGCAGGTTTCGATCAAGTCGCTTCTTTACTTTTCGAACCATTTCTGCTGATGTTCCTGTTTTCTTCCGTCCACTTCCGTGACGTCGGGCTACGCTACCAGTATCAGTATCACGGTAACGAGCGATGAAACGAGACATAAAAGATTTATTCACATTTAAATGCTGGAGTGCTCTAATGATAGCCACTTGTGGTTTTCCAGCCAAATATACAGAAATCACACTATCACGCTTGAATTCCGTCACGAATAACTTTTTTTCTGGAAAGTTCTCACCAAAATGCTTTTGTGCGCTTATAAACAATATAATGAGCTGTAACTGGAATAATTTTAATAGCTGTCGGACGAGTGGCTTAGAA